CTGGACAGAATGTGAACTGCACACCCCAGGGGCACCGTCTCACACTGCCCTGTGGCCCACGGCAGGTGCTCTGTGCATTTTTTACGACAGGCTTAAGTGACACACAAGCGAAGGGGCAGGGCTGACCCTCAAAATGCCAGGGGGACCCTCCACCCACTGGCACAGTCATGCCACCCCACAGACCTATGGAGCTGGTTTCCAAACTCTTGCTGAGAGCCATGGTCTCTCCGACCTGCCTGTGCTCCCTTCTACCCCAAGGTATTAATGCTGCGAGTTAATATCCAAATTCTCCAACCTACAGATTGCATATAAACAGCTTATGTCCTAAACAGCCAAGGAGTAATTCACTCCTTCACTTAGCAAACTTAGGGGGTGTTGAGGAGTCCTGGTGGCACAGTGGTGAAACACTTAGTCGCTAACTGAGGGGCTCACTCACATTCACCTGCGACTCTGTAGGAGAAATAGTTGGTGCTCTGCTCCTGCAAACAGCACAGCCTCCAGAGCGGGGTGTGTGTGGGGTGTGCAGCCTTTCTCTGTCACCTGGGGTCACCGTGGGGAAGCATTACTCTGTCACACGGGGTCACTATGAATCTATAGTAGACGCAACACCACCACCACTGAGTGTCCACTATGTTCTCAGTCCTGTTCTGGACAAAGAATGGTCACCAACATGCCTTCACGGAGCTTATACTTCCAGGAACAAACTGCTAGATCTGTAATTCACTGTCAGGAAGAGGAGTGCTACAAAGAATAAAGCTGGGTGAAGGGGATAGGAATGATGGAGGAGGGGCTATAACATATTAAGAATTCAGCAAACAAAGGAGCTCTGGTGGCCTAGTGGCAGGAAGCTGCGCTGAAATCCCGGAGGTACGCGGTTTGAATCCACCAGATGCTCTGCTGGAGAAGGAGGGGTAACCTTCTCCTGTACCAGTCAGATCTGATTTGACAGTACACACATTAAAAAAAAACAGTAAAATAAAAAAATTTTTTTTAAAAAGAATTCACACATTCTCTGAGTGGTTCTAAGCGGGGGTCCCAGGCGTCCACACACTGCTGCTAGGCACTAGGCTGGGCACTTAGCCCAGGGCCCCTCAAAGCTGGCCTCAAGAAGCTGTCTGTTCCAGCACCACTGTCTTTACTCAAGAAGGTTCTGGAACTTAGCTTGGGCCAGGGGCCAACAGGAGGGGCCTCCCCTGAGGGAGGGATCCAGCTCACTGCTTTCCAGTCAACGCCTCAAACTTGACCAAAAACGGCATGGACCGGACACACCACCCAACCTTCTCTGACGGCCTGGCCTTGGCGAAGTCTTCATACTCAAAAGAGGAAGAAACACAGCCACTGAGGACAGCTGAAAGGAATGTCTGTCTGTCCTGCAGCCAGTCAGTGCTGACGACAGAGCACCAGGGGATCCGGCGGCCCAATACTGAGAAGAAAGTGTGAGGTGGATGGAAAAAGGACGATAAAATTGTGCGGTACTATTTGAACCTGTTACAGAAAACTGTCCAGAAAAGCAGCGAGGTGGGAAAAGAGGCCAAATTGCTGACAGCAGCTGCCCCTCAGGGGGCGGGATGGCGGGCAGCCTTTGTTTTTCTAGACTGTTCATGCTTTCCTAGTTGGCCAGGGTCTGTAGTGAGCACATAGTCATTTTATAATCAAGGGTGGGGAGGGAAACCAACTCAGCAAAAGAAATGAGCAAAAAGGAGTAATGAGATTAAGAGAAGATGCAGAGGTTTGAAAAAGAACTGTTCCAACATCCTCCAATCTGCTGGGGGAAGACCCGTGGGCTTTCCTCAGCCTCGGCTCCCCCGGCACCGGGGGCTGCCCTGTACACCACGCCATGTCCAGCAGCATTTCTGAACGCTGCTCAGCGGACGCCAGCAGCAGCCCCCCAACATGACAATGATAAACGACTCCAGCGCTTGCCACGTGTCCCCTGGGGCGGGAGGGGGGCCACAAAGTGAAGAGTCATCTCCAGAGGAAAGTCTGTCCACAGGGCTTCACGGTCTTTGGGTTTTTTTTCTTTCATATGTTCTTAAAAATTAACCAGAGTTGAGATTTTTTTCCCCCTCCTCTCCTTACAAGAATGACAGTGGCATTAAAGAAAAGATTCAAAAAAAAAAAAAAGAAAGAACAGATTCCGAGAGATCAGTAGAGGCCAATGGATGAGAAGCTTTGCAACAAGCTGGACAGAGATCGTGAGGGTGGCACGGGATGGGGCACGGCTCGGATATGCTATTCACGGGGTCACCTGGAGTTGTAGTCGACTTGACGCCGGTTAACAACAGAAATCTAATCGGTGTTATAAATACTCCTGGAGGGAGAGCTGGGGCCCCCACACTCCCACCTCCGAATCCCTGTTACACCTCCCCTCCCCACCTTGACGAGGAGCTTCGAGGCAAGAACGCTCCCCACTTCAGTCTCCAGGTTTCCGCATGACACCTCAAGTGTGGAAAGGGGGCAAGGGGGCAAGGATAAGAAAGTGTCTCATAGCAGCCAGATGTGTGGTTCTGAGAGATCCAGGGCCACCTGACTCCAGCCAGCTAAAGCTGACCAAAGCAACAGGGTGAGGCCACAATTTCTAGGCAGGGCCCCTCTGGAGCAACAAGAGGGAACACCCCAGTGATTTACACTTCTACGACCAGCCTGGGGGTTGCTAAACAGGGAAAGGAGCCCGTGGAGGTGCTAGGGCGATGGGTGGTACTGTCATCACCAAGTAAAGTGCTGACGTACACAAAGACTAACAAAGAAATTGGCAGCAGTCGTGTTCTGTGTAAAGCACTCAGGACATGCCAGCTGCTGGGGGAGGGAGGGAGGAAGGGAGGGAACAAAAACAAAAAAAAAGTCATCTGAGGTCAGCAGAGTTTAAGAATGTCCCTGGCTCACCTGGGTGAGAAGGGACATGACTTCCTCCTGAGAAAGACTCAAACTGCTCCACAGAGAAACGCAGAGCGATGTTAGCCTCAATGTGGACTCAGAAGACCCTGTGGGCAAACATCTCGCCATCTTCATCTCAAATGCCCCCTGCCCACTCTGGTCTGGCCACACTGACCTCCTTTTTGTTCTGGAAGCAAACCGAGCTGACCTTGGTCTTGAGGACTCTTCATGTGCTCTTCCCCAGGCCCAGAACCCTGTCCCCGAGGTCATCTTCTTGCTGGCTCCTTCCCACGACAATGTCTCCTTCCACCCCTCACTCCCCAGCCTATCAGTCTTAATGTTTCCTCCTCAGCATTTAATGCTCTCTGAAAGCATCTCGATCTGCTGATGCACTTACTGGGTTTTTTTTCTCCCACTAGGTTCTGAGCTCCAGGAGCTTAGGGGTTTCCCTTTACCATGTTTCCTGTCAAATCCCCCCAAACTAAGTACAATACTTAACACATAAACTCACCCAACCCTCCTACCAACACCACACTGATGCGGATCCGTGGCAGCTCCATCGGGTTGATGGCTGTCACTCTTTATGGGAGTTCAGCCTCATTTTTTTCACCTGGGGCAGCTGGTGGATTCACTCCCTGACCTTTCAGTTAGTAACAGGACATGCAGCCTATAAATGTAGGACATGCGGCTCAATAAAGACCAGTTGAGTGACTAAATAAATGAAAGAAGCAAAGAGCTCTTCCTTGGTGATCGGAGAACCCATTTCTCTCAACAGAAGGTGACGTAACGAGGTCCGATGGCTGCCAAGGTGTAGGCTCTGACATCCCGGCCACTGAGGCCAGTATATCTGAGACCAGCATGGGAAACAAGCCCAGAAGATGTGTCACAGGCCCAAGAAACTTTGTCTTTAACTCCTGGAAAAGGCTGATGGGGGGCAGGGTGGACAACTGGCCTCTCTTCAGCTCCTCTCTTATTTAGCAATGGCTGAACCCAAAGCAAGGTCCACCAAGCCACAGGTGGGGTTTTGTAGGGCCAAGGAAAAGTGCTGGCCAGCCTTTCTGGTCTCCACGTTAACAAAAGTTCGAATCTCAAGAAGGCAGGCATCCGAGCATCAAACCAGTGAAACCTTGGGTGCCTGGGAGACTGGAAACCAGCCCTCAAGCCTCAAGTTACGAGCGTCACCCAGTTTGCTGCAGGCAGTCAGAGTGAGGTGTCAGCCCTCACAAGCTGCCAACTATTCCAGCTTCTGATTCCTGGTCCACGAGTGCAGAGCTGGTGAGATAGATGGCCGGGGAAGTGGGGAGGTCTGGCCTGACCATGCAGATGTGAGTGTGTCTGAACAAAAGGAGAGCAGGCTGCATTTCCAAGGGAAGTACGCACAGCTCCTGACTGGAACAAAACGTCAAGCCCCATGCCAGAGGGCCGGGGTAACTTCACGTACTTCATCTATTCTGAATGACTATGAAGAAAACGAGGCTTTACAGACTTGGAAGGAATGGCCTGGGGTCCTGGCTGATAAGACCAGCAGCTGGGATACGAACACGCCCTCCTGACTTCATGCCTTCGTGCTCAGTCCTCACAACTGTTCAGACACCACAGGCACCATTAAAGCTGGCCTCCTGAGAATCAGAACTAGCACCATACCCACCGGCACTGAATGGTTTCGACTCACAGCATCTCGCCACTGGGATTCTGAGTGTGTAAATCTTTACGGGAGGAGATTCACCTTTCACCCTTGGGGATTTGAACTGCCAACCTTTTAGTTAGCAGCCCAATATGATACAAACTACGCCACCTGGGCCCCTTCTTCAGAGCCAAGAAGAGTATTATTATCATTGTCCCATTTTTGTCACAGGGATCCTGAATTTCTGCAGGTGTAGGGGCATGACAGAAAGTACCAGAATTTGTCCTGCGTTTTGACAACCTGAAGCCCAGTGGTCTGGTGACCCTGTCACAAAGTTCTCTTTTTCCAATCAGCTCTGGAAGGAGGAAGATGGTTCTAACTAACAGTTTGTCCTGGGGGTGGTCGGCCCACTATCCCACCCATGAGCAGGAACTCTGGGGACACAGCTGGGGCTTTTCAGGGTGTCACCTCTCACCGGAAGTTCACCCGGGGCTGCCGTTACCTTCATCCTCTGTGTCCTGCTCCTGCTCGGCGCTGGCGTAGGTGCGCAGGAACTCAGCGAAGGCCCCGTCCCGGGCCAGCAGCTCCTGGTAGGACCCCATCTCGGAGATCTTGCCGCTGTTCATGACGATGATGACATCGACCTGCGGCAGGTAGCTGATGCCGTGGGTGACCAGGATCCGCGTCTGCGGGCAGAGGGGAGGCCAGCTGAGTCAGTTCCCAGGGGACAGAAAGCTGGACTCAAGTCGGGATTGGATAAAGGGCAGGAGTATGGAACACTCGAGTCTGCAGACAGAACTGCAGCATGAAGGCAGAACCCATGACCTAGACGGAAGCATGCATGCACGTGGGAATCCGGGAGACACTCGTTCGCGCGCGTGTGTCCTGGGTCCCCCGTGCACCAGGTGTGTACCAAGATCTGGGGATCCGTAAGGGACAAAACAGGCACTGATCTCTCCTCAGGAACAACATAATCAAAACAGAAAACATACCAGGTACTCTGAGGGTACAATAGCCCCGGTCACACAGTGGTTAAGTACTCAGCTATTAAAACCAAAAGTCAGCAGTTCAAACCCATCAGCCACTCACAAGCAATCAACTTTTTTAAAGATTTACAGCCTGAGAAACCTTACTGGACATTTCTACCTTGACCTCTAGGGTCACACTAGGAGTCAGAATTGGCTCAAGGTAAGAAGTGTGACTGGCTTTGGCTTACACTGAGGGTGGGCAATTTGGAATTTTTTTTATTTTATTTTATTATTTTTGTGTGTGTGTACTGTCAAATCAGATCTGACTGGTACAGGAGGAGATGGCCCCTCCTTCCCCAGCAGAGCGTCTGGTGGATTCGAACCGTGCACCTCTGGGATTGTAGTTGCAGCTTCTTGCCACTAGGCCACCAGAGCTCCCCTGGCAACTTGGAATTTTAACAAAAATTCTCAGGGAAGGTAATTTCTGAAAAACAAAAATAAAAAAAAAATTGGAGGAGGAGTGTGTGTGGGGCGGGACTTCCAATCATGTGAGTGAACGTCAGAACAAAGAGAATGGAGAACAAGCTGCACGTGCTAGCTTAATCTTTCAAAAAGTAAGCCCAACCACGCTCCAAAAGATCCCCTACTATAATATTTGTATGTGTATATGTAGAGGTTTTATACAAATTATCTGAAAAGTTTGGGCGAGGCCACTGAAACCACTGTCAGAAGTTCCTGTGGAGCACGAGTCAGCAAACTTTTTCTTCAAGGGCCAGGGAATAAGCATTTTTGGCTTCGAGACCCATTTGGCACCTGCACAAAATTACTCAGTTGTGCCCCACAGCGAGGGAACTGCCAGAGACCACACGAGCATGAACATACATGGCTGCGTCCCAATAAAATGCTATTTACAGACAATGATATTGAAATGTAATAGACTTTTGGCATGTCACAAAATAATGTTCTTTAGAATTTTGTTGTTGTTGTTGTTCTTCCAACCATTTAAAAACTTAAAAACTTAACTCCCCCTCCTCACTGCCACTGAGTCAGAATGGACCCATAGCTGACCCTCCGGCGGGGTTTCAGAGGCTGTAAATCACATGGGAGGAGACTGCCCATCTTTTCCCTTGTAGAGCAGTGGGTGGATTCGAACCATCTGCTTTTGGGTTGGCAGCACAGCGCCTTAACACACAAGGCCACAGAACTGCCAGTGACCAGATTTAGTTACAAACTCTAGTCTGCTGAACTCTGAGAGAGGGATCAGGGAAACTTTCTTTGCAGTATATATACTCTTGTGTTCCTTAGTTTTGATACCAGAGGCACATAGTACTTTCATAAATCTCCCCTAAAAAAATCTTTTTGATATTTAAAACTTCTATTTCCACATTTGGTGCCACAGATGCGTGGCGTACCTGGGTGAGGAGATGATTAACAAGCTCATCTGCTAACTAAATGGGGGACAAAGGTTCAAGTTCAGCCGGAAACACCAGAAACAAAAGCGAAAGAAAGGGGAAGCTCATATTAAAAAAACCCAGCCATTGAAAATACCACAGAGAGCAGTTCTTTTCTGACACACACGAGGTTGTCACAAGCAACAGACTGATTTTCTGAGAGTGTTTAAAGTGGCTTACAGTTCGCTACGTCTGGCATGACCTTATTATGAGATACACATCCATGGATGGTGTTAATACCCCATTTTTAAAAATTGTGATTTATATGAAAGCTTACAAAGTAAATTGGTTTTCCATTAAATCATTCATACGCATTTTACTTTATGACTTTTCATTACAATACTCACACTGTCACAGCACTCTACCCACTTCTACATTATGATTCTCATTTCCATCAAGCCTTCTATCCTATCCTTTCCTGCCTTTCAGCATTAGCCTTGGGCAGATGCTGCCCTTTTGGTCTTGTATAGTTGATTGTCCTAAAGAGTGAGGACCTTCTGGGTGTTACTGTTGACCTGCTTGTTTTTGGCTGAAAGTTGAGACATAAGAGGTGAATTCTTTATCATGTAGTGACTAAAGATCACAGTCTCAGGGATTCTATTAGTATTTATTGGGACTCCACCGTTTTTGTGTTTAATTCTCCATTTTCTGCCCACTCTGTCTACTGCCATCTACTTTTTGGCCTCGGGGTTCTGGAGGCTGAGGTTCACCCAGTCTCTTAGTCCTTTGAAAGGGGTCAGAAGTTACGCATGGCTGCTTGCAAGCTTTTAAGATCCCAGTCACTAGTCACTGAAATAGGGTCTAAATCAGGCCGGTCTTCACGCAATGTATGCCAATTAACCTTGACCTCCCCTAAGACGAAGATCTTGAGGTCGTGGGATCAACAACTCCTTCCCAAAAGACGTTGGTGGGTTATGATCAAGAAGCATGCATAGCCCTGCCCGTTGGCTTTGCTGTGTACATAGTGTTATTTCTACATCAATACCCGTAATACAGCTGCCAAGCTTACGTATGGCCATGGATGTGGCCCCTTTCACTTCCCCGTATCTGTTCATCTTGCCTGTACACCTTTAGATCCACTTGGAGATCAACGCTGGTCATTGCTGATGATGTAGTAATACAGGAGTGTGGATGTAACAGTGTTTATCTTCACTGACTTTATTCCTTGTGCATATCTCTGTGTTTTCCCTTTCTTTATCGATAATTCACTGTCAATGATAGTCAATATCATGCTTTAAATGATATTGTTATTGTTTTGTGTCACTGAGTCAGAACTGACCCATCAGTGGGTTTTCAGGGGCAGGAAATCACACAGGAGAAGAGTGTCCATTTTTCTCCTGTGATTTAAACCGTGTACCTTTGGGATTGCAGTGCAGCTTCTTACCACAAGGACACCAGAACTCCTTAATGATATTTACTGTACAATGAGGTTTATATTTACTATACATTTCCCTTCACGCATTTTAATATGTACATCATTCTTACTAAAAAGCTTCTACACATGAGATGATGCCAGAAAGAAATGACAACTCCAAGTAGTAAGATTATGGGTAATTGCTTTTGCCCTCCATCCAATGTTTTGTTTTGTTTTTAAAATCTTTATTATGTGGCTTGTCCTGTGGATGCAAAGGGTGGCATACTTCAAGAGGCAAGGGCAGCTTTTAGAATGAGGTCACAAGAAAGGAAAAATCAGTGTCTCTACCTTTTAAAAATAGCCCTGGTGTACAAGTTTCCATACCACGTTCACTTTTGGTTGCTGTGAGGCTGAACACTAGTGTGTCAAATGTGTTAATGATTGGCTACCCAATGTGGACAGAGAGTGGGGTGGAGCTCCCCGACTAAAACAAGCTTGGATGGAGGAGTGACATCCACTTCCCTTAACAGCTTGACTCCGGAAACCCTATGAACCTGGAGAGAGGATGAAAGGCACCCAAGCGTCGAGGACTCTCCTTCATAGGGTCGCTATGAGTTGCCTGCGACTCGACAGCACTTAACAACAACAAAAACAACAACAACAACCTTTTAAAAAAACAACAACTTCTAAAACCAGGAGTCATTCCCACTCAAAAATATCCCAACCCCATGGACTGTTGGACTCAGTCACGGGAGGTTCTGGGATGGGATTGCCTTCTGGAAAGCCACCCCCTTACGTAATCAGGGAGAGAGGGTCCCCTTGGCCAAAGGAGGGCAATGAGCAAGTGCAAAGGATTTATCCCTATAAAGACAGAGCAAGAAGAATGTCTTAGGAAGGCTTCCAAAGAAGCACTAAAAACTTGTTTTCAATGTCCAATAAAAAAAAGACTGGGGAAGAGATGAATTCTTCAAAGAAAAACATTCTGACAAAAGCCAAGCCCCAGCCCGGGCCCAGGCCCTTCCCTGGTACCTTGTTCTTCAGCATTCCCTTGGGACCCATCACGTTCTCAAATATGTGCTTTCCCACGTGGGCATCCACTGCTGAGAGGGGATCATCAAAGAGGTAGATGTCAGCATCACAGTACACAGCCCGGGCCAGGCTCACGCGCTGCTTCTGGCCCCCAGACAGGTTCACGCCCTGCGGAGAGAGAACCGGAGCAAGAAGCTGACTGCGTGAGGAATCGGGAGACAAAACCAAGGGGGCTGAGCCAGCCCAGGGCACCTACTCTAAGGCCAGTGCCCTGCAGGGGCTGCTTCATTTCAGCCTCAGCTAAAGACAGGAGAATGCAGCTCTTCCATAGCTATTGTGGGTTCAAGTCCCTGCTCCACCGCAGCCAGAGACAGGGCCACCAACTTGAATGGGGCTCAGCCGTATGGAGCCTTCACTGACTGGTCTGTGAAATGGGTAGAACAGGAAGAACCGGAACTTCCTGTGAGGAGCTGAGCCGAGCGCCTGCTGGCTCAGAACAGTGGTGGCTCAGGAGAGACTCAGAACACAGGTGGCAGGGGAGGAGGGAGGTAATGTGAGCCTAGTTGCTGGATGGTTACTGGTAAAAACAAGCCTCTTCTGTGGGTCTGCCCCTGCAGGAGGCTGTATGCCTGCAGTGTGAAATCTGACCCCGTCTTCAGATAAAGGATGCCACTTGGTAATGTGCACTAGGGTGCTGTACTGGTCAGTCGTGGCTCCGGCTTTCTTATCATTTCTATATTTGGTTAGGGGACTACAGTTAACCAACCACCTCCATTAAACATGCAGTCTTCTCAAAGATGACCCTCTTGCCCACAGTGTCATGTGGATAGAGCAGGACCTGGAAGCATTTCTTTCCACGGTGGTATGTAGTCTTCCACCATTAGTTGGGGTCAACAGGACTGGACAACAGTTAACAGCTACCACATGGCTATGTGAAACCGTGACACCTTTCCTCCTGTATCCTGCCCTTTATCATGTGACTTTGTAGACACTTGACTACAAAGGTAGAATGCACTTCCTGATCCCTTGCCTTGAAAGAGCATGATAGGCTGATTTGCTTTGTGGGTATAAGGGATAGTATACCCTACGAGAGACATGACATGCAGGCTTTGCTGTCTTGATTTCTTCTGTCACCAGGAGAAGAGCATCCCTACAGGGCAGCTACAGCCCCCTCTGCCTGGGCAAGTCTTTTGAGAACTGCAGCCTGGAGCCCTGCATAGCTGGCCTGTGGCAAATAGCAGAGGCGCCTGGCTGAGCCCTTCCTGGATCAGAAAATCCATTCAAAAACCCACTTAGAAGAGAACAGACATGCTACTGCAAGCCACTGAGGCTTCCTGGGTGTTTGTGATGCATCAGTCGCTCAGGACCCAGGGACCAGAGCTGATGTCACACTGACCTTCTCGCCAATCTCTGTCTGGTCCCTGCTGGGCAGCATCTCCAGGTCAGGGAGGAGGGCACAGGCCTCGAGCACGGCCTTGTAATAGCGCTCCTGCAGCTGACGGCCAAACAGGATGTTTTCTCGGAGGGAATCGTTCTGGATCCAGGCCTGCTGGGGGACGTAGGCCACTGAGCCCTGTATAGCAGGGAGAGAGGGAGACAGACACGATCAATAGACCAGAGCCAGGCCGCTCATCTGTGCTAAAGGTCCTGTTTCCCAAGACACCTCCATCACACTGCTGAAAACCTGAGTCACAAGCAGCTGCAGATGCCTGAGCTGGGTGTCGGGTAGAAAAAAAAGAGTTGAGAGCTTGAGAGAGAAAGAAAGAAGCTGGTCCCAGGAAACGAACAGGCCTATACTGCATGGTCTGAGAGGGACACCACGTAACTACGCACGGAGGAGGTCAAAACAGCACAAGAACAGTCAAGAGCGGTTTCTTTTTATAGGGGTTGTAGGGAGGACTAGGGAAGATGGTATTTTGCTTGAAATTTGGGACTGTTAATTAACTTGTGTTTGGGCTTTCATGATCAGGCCTAGAGCCTTGTCAGGATCCACTGGCTGGTCTGGTCCCTGGTCTACTTGCCTTTGACATTATCAGGTTTCTTCAAGGAGTGATCAGGCCTGGGGGCAACTGCGACATTCCTCCTCCCCTGGGAACAGAACCTCTAGCTCAGAGGCTGCCTCCATTGTCAGGGTCTTCATATATTAAGGACACTTGGTAACTGAGGGCTTATAGCTGTGTACATTACCCTGTTTTCAGAGTGCAAGAGCAATGTAATTATAAAAATTACATGATTACATTTGTAAGTACTAGGAGACCAACATAAACAAGACTTTTTAAAAGGCAGACCTTTACTCCTTTGGCACAACAGGAGTTTCTAGCCAAACACGCAATTGCAAAGTTATTTTGTCTCTATTTTCACATAATGTAAGATGTTCAGGACAGCAAGGGAGTTCAGTCTAAGGAAGGAGTATTTATTTCCTGTTTAATAAAAACACTGCAGTCTGTGGAGGGGGGGTGCCTATTATTTTTTTTAAAGAAAACTTTCCTTTTATTCTGGTTTACTTATAAAGTTCACATACATTGTTTTTCATGCAATCTATTTTTTAAAAAAGATTTAAACAGGAACCGAAAGATGAGACAAAGATGGCCCGACAAAGAGAGTAGGGAACAACATTCCAAGCAATGGGAACAGAGCTTGTAGAGGCTTACATGGCTTGGTACAGTTCTAGGAACAGAGAGGCAGGTGTGACCTAACATTGTGTGCGAGCAAGACAGGCAAGCAATGAGCTGGAGACAGAGGCAGGGGCTCAAGGTGGGCTGGCGTTCACTGGAGGCATGGGAACACACGAAGACTCTCAAATAAGGAAAGCCTAGCAGGACAAAGCTGTGAGTGTAATTCAGATACTCTGATCCCCAATCTTAATTCTCATGTAAGGGGTAGTTGTTATGGATGAAATAACATACCTCAGAACACTAACCCCTGTATCTGTGGAAGAACAAGTTGTGACTATTGACCTCAAGGTTGGCGGTTCAAGTGTGGGCTCTATGGTGCTATGGAAGAAAGGCCTGGCCATCTATTTCTGAACACATCAAGGCTAAGAAAATCCCTGGGGAACAGTTATGCTCTCTGATACAGGGGACAGCCAGGAATCTGAATCAAATGCTCCAACAGTTTAGACTACAGCAATCCCAATTGGGGGTAGGGATTTCTCTGTTCAGTTAAAGACATCAGTATAGGGCATGTCAAATAATGTCTGAGTTACAAGGAGTAGCAAGTATGCACGAACCAGGGGAATACAGGTGCCATGTGAAGGAGGGGGCCAGGGCTGGATGGAGACCAAGATCTTCTACCAGAGGCACCAGAGAGAGCCTTCTCCAAGAGCCAGTGCCGTGAATTTGGACTTCCAGAGTCCTAAACTGTGAGAAAATAAATTTCTGTTCTTTAAAGCCACCCTGCTGTGCTCTTTCTATTACAGTAGCACTGGATACCTAGGAAGGTAACTAAGCTTACGATATCCTAACTTAGACCTTTTAAATAACCTACTGCCATCAAGTCAATTTCTACTCACTGAGACCTTCCACCAGGTCTCTGAAGCTGTATCTCTTAAGGGAAGAAGACTATCTCCTTTTCCTCCCTCAGAGCAGCTGGTGGATTAGAACTTCCAACCTTCTGGTTAGCAGCTGGACACATTCTGCACTATGCCTCTAGGGTTCCTTATCCTAGTTTACAGAAGGTCAAAATATCACAAAGCTCCACGGTAGAACTATGCTAATTCAGAAAGACAAGTAATTTAGGCCCGGTCCGAAAGAATCCTGTCAACCCTAAACATCTGGAAAACATAACATTTTAAAACACATTTCTAAATCTCCCCTAGCCAGCATAAAAGTAGGACCTGCTAGTAAATCTTCAGTCTCCTCAAGCCAAAACCTCACAGGGCCCTCAAACCTCATACATGTAATTTTGTAGTTAGGGGCCTTTTATTTAAAAACACTGAGTTTATAACTAAAGATGATTTCTGGGACATGTGCAATTGCCCAGCGAATTTCGAGTTGTCACAACTGGTAGTACTGGCCTGTAGAAGGTAGAGGCCAATGATGTTGTTCAACTTTCTACAATGTACTGGATTACCTAGCCAATGGAATCTAGACTTTCTGGAGCCGTGGAGGCTTGATAAAACTCCAAAACTATTGTCTTGAGATAATCTTTTAAACTTTAAATAAATAAAAAAAAATTCCCTGAGGTCATCCTAAAGCCAAATATTGGTAGGATGTCTGCATTGAGCATTACGTTCCTTTAAGGCCTATCTATATGAGAACAAGTTGATAATAGCAACTTAAAAAGATTAGATAGGAACCTTAGAGGGTAGTGAATGTATATTAAAGGAGGAAAAACAACTCAGAAAGAGGGTGAAAATTGTTGCATAATTAAAAGAATGCATTCACTGAAATCTACATGTCGACACAGTTGAATTGGTGTCTATTTTTGCTATGTAGTCTTGGTTAAAACAAAACAAAAAAATTATCTTAAAAAAGGAATTATCCAGCTCAAAAGGTCAATAGTTGCGTGACTAAGGAAGCAGTAGGTTAATGAAAGATAAAGCAATGTGGACCCTACCAAGACTGGTCATTTTCTTCCATTAATAATGTACGCAGTACCTAGTAAGCTCTCTAGAACATGGACTTGGATGTAATGACAGGTTTCTTCAAAACACAGCAAAATGTCATTGGTCTGACTCCAACTACTGTAATGTATCATTTTTCAGTTGGCCTACAGAACATCATTTAATCAGGTTTTTTTTTTTAGAAAAGGGTTTAGCTTTGAAACAAAAACAATGGAATAGACCAGCATGCCCAAAAGTGGATTCTAAGGACCTAAGTAGTTTTGAACAAAGAATAGTGCGAAAACACAAATGTATATGAACTTTGTAAGCAAACCCAAATTTATTTTTTTTAAAGTAGTATTTTGCAGGGGGGCAGGAGAGGAAGCAAGAGTTATCCCTTATCTGGGGTATTTGAGGTTAAACAAAGTTAAACTGGTTTCCTTCCTGTCCTTCAAGGTGCAGGGCTTCTTTTTAAAGCCTTTGTCTGTTATTATTTATTGTAAACTTTCAAGAGGGAGGGAGGCAGCGTATGCAGTATTTCCCCGACCCTGTCTGACTTTCTGGTGCTGAGTTATCCCTGCCTTTGTAGAGTAAATCCAAACTGTCATAGCGTCGTTGTTCTAAGTACCATAGAGTTGGAATTGACCCAGAGTTGACCCTCCAGGGGGTTTTCAGAGGCAGTTAATTGCACAGGACACAGGTTCCCCACCCTTCTCCCGCAGAGCAGCTGGTGGACTCGAACCACATGCCTTTGAGACTGCAGTCCAGCTTCCTGCCACTTTTGTTCACTAGTAATTTGCAGCAGATTTTTTTTCTCCCCAAGCTTGCCTGATCCTTTATTCCCCAAAAAGATCCCAAGACAATGCATCAGAAGACAAAGACACATGCATCAGAAATGCTGGTGTCAACATAACTGGGAGGGAGATATTCCTGCACAAGGGAAAAAGCCTCGATGGGGAAGGAACTAGAAGCAGAGAGCAACTCTCTTGATTTCCAATTTATTCACTAAAGCAGCCCTCTTAAACAGTCTCCTGGGACTATGTTCAATTACAGAGTATCCTCAGGCGACAAAGTTTATCCCTAAGTTTGTCATTAAGTTGAATTTGTAAGTAATCATAGTAATAAGTATGATTCACATGTACAGTCAACTATCTGCTTTGTTATTGTTGTTATGTACCATCGAGTCGCCTGTGACTCACAGCGACACTATGTATAACTGCCCCAAACCCTGTTCTATGCTGTGCCAATCTTAGTGTCTCTGACACACCTACTCCCAATACGCCAGTCACTGAATCGGTCCATCTCATCTCATCAAGGGTCCTTCTCTCCTGTGCTGTCCCTTCACCCTCCCAAACAAGACATCCCTCTCCAAAGACTGGTCCCTCTTTGCAACATGTCCAAAGCATGTCAGACGAAGCTTCCGAATCCTTGCCTCCAAGGAGCAGCCTGGTTTCTCCCTCTCCTGGACAAACTTGTTCATTCTCTTAGCAGTCCATGGCATATTCAATACTCTTCTCCAGTACCACAGCTCAAAGGCATCAATTCTCCTACCATCCCTAGTCACTGTCCAGTTCTCTGATGCATAGCAAGTGATTGCAAAGACCACGGCCTGTATCAGGCGCACCTCAGCAGACAGTAAATAGTGCACCTTTCTATGCATAAAAAATATTTTTAAAAACCCATTTCCAGATACACTAAAACACTTTTAAGATACTACAGTAATAATATCAACATTTTGTTCAATGATATGAACATGTACGGCCAAGCACAATCAATAAGAGTGCATCTAAATTCCAAAATCAATCTCCATAATAGTCTATGTGTTTCCTACTGCCAAAGGGGTCCTTTAGAGTAGTGAGAGAAGATCTTCACCCTGAAACCCACAGCGTCCCTTTTCAGCAGGAAGTAGCTAAGAGAATACGCCATCCCCTTTTCCTTATGACTCAGGGTGAAGTCTCTCTCAGGGAGGAGTGATAGGGAATGGCAAAGGACACACTGACAAAGGAGATTAATCAGAACTGGCTTTGACAAGCACTGTGGCATTTGGACAAGAACAAACTGGGAGGAGGGTAGAGAGAATAGTGCAACAATGAATGAATGGAAACCCAAAATCTCTGTAAATGTTTATGAAAATTAATAAAATATAATTACAGAAAAAAAAATCAACATTTTGATGCATGATGCAAAGTAATGCCTGTTAGGCATTATGAACTACTGTCTATATATTATTAATATAATAGGCTTTATAGGGGAGGGGTGTGATAACTATGAATTTTGTCAAGATCAAGGGGGCTCTAAATAAATTCATAACCTAAGGACAGCATGTAAGTCAAAGTATCTTGGGTATTTAAAAACAATAAAAATTATGGTTTTCTTTCAGCCTCATAGAATTCAAGGAATGCTCATAGAATTTGAATGACTCTTTAGAAAAAAAATTTCCCTGACAAAAAAAAAAGAGAAAAAAAAATTTCCTTGAAAAGATTGCATATATTTTCCACATTTTAAAAAAGTGTCACTTTGTTACACTTAAAGAGATACACAGTAGAATCACAGAGAGAAAGAGTGAAGTAGGGAGAGGCAAGTAAGGAGAGGCTCAGAGTCACAGAGGGCAGAGATGAGAAGGACAAGATAAGAGTGTGTCTGGTGCACTCAGGAGAGTAACAAACGTTTACTGAGTGATGTACTACATGCAGGAGTGCATGCACCTAATCCTCAGCACTAAGGAAAAAAGTAAATGTACCCCTTTGCCACTATGTCCATTCTTTAGAATTTTTTCCAAATAATAATTTACTGTATTTTATCATGAATACAACAGCTCAGGTTCCCAGTGAATAATTTCAGCACATACGAAGTTCCATGACAGTTGTGTGAACACTCTCATTATTTCCATTCCATTTGTACTGTTTCTGTTCATCTAGTTTGCCTGCACCTTTACAGTCTCACCTGTACTTCAAAGTCATTGCTGACTGTTTGGTCTCATATAGATGCTTTTTTCAAAAAGGCAGCACAGTATGCACAGTGATATTCTTTCTCTTGCCAGCCACTCTGTTATTTAGCTAAAAGGTAACCTTCAGGTCATCTACCATGGCTGCAGTTGAGTGCCGTCATCGGAGCTGACCCGCCAGTGAGTTTTTTGAGGCAGTTAATCACACAAGAGGAAACTGCCCACCTTTCTTCTGCAGAGTAGCTGGTGGTTTTGAACTCCATGCCTTTGGGATTGTAGTACAGCTTCTTATTCCCAGGCCACCGTGGAGTTAATTCCAACTCATGACCACCCAGTGTGTTGGAGAAAAATTGTACAGCACAGCGTTTTCACAGGTGTGATCGCAATTGAGTAAGTAGTCATCAGGTCTTTCTTGCGCAGTGCAATCACAGCCCCAAGCCTTTAGGCCAGCAGACAAGAGCTAACTGTTTGCAGCACGGAGCTATGGTGCTAAGATATGGAGGGAGGACAAGATACCAATGTCCCTGCCTTCTAGAACACCACCGACAGTTGTAGAAAAAGAGAGAGAGAGAGAGGGAGAGATAAGGGGGGGGAGAGACACACACAGAAAGAGAGAGAGATAGAGAGACACAGACAGGAAAAAGGAGATTAGGCAAGAGAGGGGACTGTTTTAATGTACAGTCACATGAGGAAACAGCATTTCTGCCCCCCGCCAACCACACACTGGCCGTACCTTGAGAGCCACGTGCCCCTCCACCTTGTCCATCTCAGCCAACAGCGCAGAGAGCAGCGATGACTTTCCACAGCCCACCTGGCCCACCACGGCCACCAAGGCACCTTCGGGAACCGAGAAGGAAATGCTGAAACGACATTACACGCCCTGTTATGCCGGCCACAACGCCACCGGAATGAGCCCAATGGGCTGCCCCTGCCCTCCGGGACCTGCATCTACAAGGAGAAGATGAGGGTGTGGTGTGGGGACTGGAAGCGAGACTACTAGAAGGATTTAAGCAAAAGTGTTATTTCGACCACTGAGGTGGGCCTGGTGAGCAGTCTTGGGAGGACTCCCCTGTGTGTGCTTGTGACGGGGGGCTGGGGTCTAGCAACCAGTCTTAGGAGACCACCTGCTTGTGCACCATGGGATGAGTTGGAGTGAGAGTGCGTTTGAGAAAATAACAGCTGGAGAGACTCAAGGGATCAGGTGACAGCTCTGCCTGGGACACACAGGGTACCGCTGAAGGAGGGATGGTGGAAAAGATAGGATGTGTGTGACTGAGGAGTAACATGGGGAAGACACGGGATGAGGCAGGGAGGAAGAGGGAGATGAGGGTGGAAGGGAAGAGGTGGGCTGGGGAGGAGCTGGGAGGACACTGCGCTGAGACGTTCAAGCTGAGAGATGCTGATGTGAAAGAAGCTGAGTTGCATTTCAAAAAGATGCTATCACTGAATCACTGAAAAAACAGCAGCAAGTCCAGTCACTGGGTGGTGCAATGTGCTCAGCTGCTAAAGGTTGGAGGTTCAAGTCCACCCAGAGAAGCCTCAGAAGAAAGTCCTGGCATTCTACTTCTGAAGTTTCAGCCACTGAGCAACTACGTTTCAACCTCACTGCACACAGTTCTACTCTGAGACAGGCAGAGTTGACATGAATCAGAACTGGCATGATGGCAAAAAACCCAAAACCCAAACCACTGTTACTGAGTTGATTCTGACTCTACGGTGACTCCACAGAATTTTCTTGGCTGTAATGTTTATGGATGCTGACAGCCAGACCTTTACTCCTCTATACCACAAATTGGGTTCAAATCACCATCCTTTCTTTAGGCTAAAAGTTGAGTGCAAACCATTGGGCCACCCGACAGGTTTAAAATTTAAAAAGCCTCACTCAAGGTTACCAAGAAAATGTTCTCCCAGCAAAATCAGCTGTCAGGGACAGAGGGGGACCCCATGATTCTCTCACTTGCCCGCAGCATGGTCCAGCTGCCACTTGCCCTACCCAGATGGGGTGGCCGCTTCAGGGCTGCATTAGGTCTGCTTGCTGCCAGTGGGTACTTGACCCTTGTTGAAGTGTCCATACTAATAGTGCTGGATCCTTTTGCTCCTGTGAAAAAGAGCGTTCTGGCTGCTGACCACTGTCCACCTGCCAAGCTGTCACACGGGGGTGGCTTGCGAGCTGCTGGGATGCCGGAAGCTACACTGTTCAATTTCAGTACCAGCAGGGTCAGCTGTGACAGACATTGAGTAATACAGAAATGATATTCGGCTTAGGAGTTGTACTGACATGGTAAAGGCACGGGACTCAAACCCACCAGGCTGCTTCACAGGAGAAAGATGGGCAATCTCTTCCTATGCTACATCCTGCTTCTTAAAGAGAGCATCTAAAGTCAGCTCTGAGTCAGTTACAACTCGAGGAAACTCACAACAATGATAAAAGGGTCAATTTATCAAAGCTAAACCAGTTAGCTTCAGATCCATCTAAACTCAGGGTGACCCCAAGTGTGTCAGAATTGTGCCCCCCCAGGTTGTGAATAGCTTATGCTTTAAACACAGATCACCAGGTCTTTCTTCAGCCATGCCCCTGGGTGAACTCAAACATCGAACCTTTCTTTTAGCAGCTGAGCTATGAACCGCTTGCACTACCCCAGGGATTCAGTGACTGTTATGTTTTGCAACTCGCGAGGAGTCTGATTTTAATGCTATCAATATTTATAATTGCAAATGATTCATTATGTACCAAATAGCAGATGTTCTAAAATCATAAAGTGTCTGACAAAGAAGATTAATCAGAACTGGCTTTGACAAGCACTGTGGCATTTGGACAAGAACAAACTGGGAGGAGGATAGAGAGAATAGTGCAACAATGAATGAATGGAAACCCAAAATCTCTGTAAATGTTTATGAAAATTAATAAAATATAATTATAGAAAAAAAGAAAATAAAATCATAAAGTGTAAACGGGCAGGACTGAATGACAAAAATGAAAGAGACAGGGAGCTCTGGTGGCCTAGTGGCAAGAAGCTGCACTGCAATCCCAGAGGAGCACGGTTCGAATCCACCAGATGTTCCGCCGGGAAAGGAGGGACAATCTCCTCCTGTACCAGTCAGATCTGATTTGACGGTACACGCACACACACAAATAATAAAATAAAAATTAAAAAAAATGAAAGAGACACAATTTCTTAATTGGGGATTTAAATATTCCATATCCAATTACTTGCTATGCATCAGAGAGCTGGACAATGACTAGAGATACTAGAAGGAGAGTTGATGTCTTTGAGCTGTGGTGCTGGAGAAGAGTATTGAATATACCATGGACTGCTAGGAGAACAAACAATTTCATCCTAGAGTGGGTTAAACCAGGCTGCTCCTTGGAAGCAAGGATTCTGGAGCTTCGTCTGACATACTTTGGACACGCTGCAAGGAGGGACCCGTCCTTGAAGAGGGATGTCATGCTTGGGAGAGTGGAAGGACGGCACAGGAGAGGAAGACCTTGATGAGATGGACAGATTTAGTGACTGGGGTAATGGGGATAGGTGTGTCAGAGACAATAAGATTGGCACAGGATAGATCAGGCTGTTGTATGCAGGGTTGCTAGGAGTCGCAAGTGACTCCATGGCACATAACAACAACGTATCCCATTCTCAGCAAGTGACTGAACAGTTACCCCTCTCTTCCCAAAACCTTAAAGATCGAGAAGATGGGAGAGGAATCATCTGCCTTTCTCCCTGATTGACACACACAGACCCCACCTGCAAGATCAGAATGCACATCCTTTCAAATTAAGCACAGAATGCTGACCAAGACAAACTAAACAAGACATGCTGACCTTCAAAATAAGAATCTATAAAGTCAAAAGACCTGAAAAATCATAGAGTATATTTGGTCCTACAACTGCGTAAAACTTTGATTGTTAGATCAAGAAGAGCTGACAGATATAAGATCCTCCAATACCTGGAAATTACAGACTTCTGTGGCCCAAGGAGCACATAAAATATTAATGAAAAAGGAGAACAGGCAAGTGCATGTTCTTATTCTTTGGTGTTGTTGAGTTGATTCTGACTCACAGCAACCCCTGTGACAATATATAGAAACCCTGCCCAGTTCTGTATCATCCTCCTAATCTCTGCTATGCCCACCCACTGCTGTAGTCACTGGGTCAGTCCATCTCATGGGTCTTCTCTTTCTCTCTCTCGTTTTCCAAGCATGATGTCCTTCTCCAGGGACTGAGCCCTCCTGACAGCACACCCAGTATACGTGAGATGAAGTCTCACCATCCTTGTTTCTAAGGAGCATTCTGGCTGGACTGCTTCTAAGACAGAGATGGGTTTGTTCTTTTGGCAGTCCCTGGCATGTTCAATGCTCTTTGCCAACACCACAGTTCAAGGGCAAGTGTACACAGACAAACATGTTCTGGTGACTTCTAGGGGCAGGAGGAAGAGGCCAAGGGAATGGCCATCGCTTATGGAGCACTGAGCCTCTGTTTATGGTAATGAAAAATCTGTACTAAGAGTAAAGGTCGACAAGTTGATTAATATAACTCATGTCGATAGGTTGCATACCTGCAAAAAAATTGTAATTGGCCAATGCATGATTGATGTATTTAGAGGAACAACAAAAGAGCAGCTGTTGACAATGCTGAAGTACAACCCAAGATCTCATGGACTTTGACCTTTTGGTGTGGAGGTTTAGGGTTGGCCCAATAGTATATTTAGTGCTTATTTCCCTGCTAATTTCACATAAAAATACTTTTTTGAAGACACAAATAAGGTTGTTATACTTGTTATGTGCCGTCTAGTCACCTGCGACTCATCGCAATTCTATGCACAACAGCTCTGAACCCTGCTCTATCCTGAGCCAGTCTCACTGTCTCCAACGCATCTAACACCATTACCCCAGTTATTTACTGTGTCAATCATCTACTCCAGGGTCTTCCTCTCTTGCGCTGTCCTTCTGCTCTTCCAGGCATAATGTCTTTCTCAAAGGACTGGTCCCACTTTGTCAACATGCCCAAAGTATGTCAGATGAAGCTTTAAAATCCTTGACTCTGAGGAGCAACTTGGTTTCACCCTCCCTAGGATAAATCTGTTTGTTCTCTTGGCAGTCTGGAGTGTTCAAAACTGTTCTCCAGCACCACAACTCAAACACATTGATACTTATTGATACTTCTGTCATCCTTATTCATTGTCCAGCTCTCTGATGCATAGCAAGTAATTGCAAAGCCCATGGCCTGTATCAGGTACACTTTAGTCTCTAGTCCGACATCATTGCTCCTCAGCACTCTGGAGAGGTCCCCGACAGGAGATTTTCCCAATGTAATTAGTCTTGATTTCTTGGCTGCTGGTACAAAGAGTGTTGACTGTGGAACCAAGCAAGCTGAAGCTGTTAATCTCAATTTCCTCTCCATCTACCGTGGTGCTGACAATTGGCCCAGTGGTAAGTATTTTTGTCTTCTTGATGTTGATATTGAAGATTGCAGTCCTTGACTTTCTGCAGCAAACACTTCAGGGCCTCCTCGGTTTTAGCAAGGAAGGTTGTATCATAATGGTGGTGTTATGTTGTGTGCCATCAGGTTGGAAATGACTCATAGCTGACCCTCTAGCAGGTTTTCAGACACAGTTTAATTGCACTGGAGATTACCCATCTTTCTCCCTCAGAGCAGGTGGTGGATTCGAAGTGTGTGCCTTTGGGATGGCAGAACAGTTCCTTACCACGAGCCCAACAGAGATGAAAAAAAATTTTATGTAATTTTACATATGGAGCCAAGCAACAGTCTTGGCACCAGCAGCCAGGAAATTAAAAGGCACATTGCCATGGGAAAGTCTGCTGTTAGGGACCTCTCCAAAGTGCTGAAGAGCAGTGGTGTCTCTCTGGAGACTAAGGTGCGTCTGATACAGGCCATGGTCTTCGCAATCACCTGTTATGCATCAGAGAGTTGGACAATGACCAAGGAGGATAGAAGGAGAATTGATGCCTTTGACCTGTGGTGCTGGAGAAGAGTACTGAGAATACCATGGACTGCTAGGAAAACAAATAGATTTGTCCTAGAGAGGGTTAAACCGGGTGGCTCCTTGGAGGCAAGGATTCTGAGGTTCCGTCTAACTTACTTCGGACATGTAGTGAGGAGAGACCGGTCCCTGGAGAGGGACATCATGCTTGGGAGGGTGGAGGGACGGCGCAGGAGAGGAAGGCCCTCTATGAGGTGGATTGATTCAGTGACTGGGATAATTGGGATGGGAGTGTCAGAGACAGTGCGATTGGCACAGGACAGAGCGGAGTTTAGGGCTGTTGTACATAGGGTGGCTATGAGTCGCAGGCGACTCGACGGCACATAACAACAACAACAATTTTACATACGTTAAGGTGAAAAAAGTGTGATGGACTCAGACATGCTTGTGACAGTGAAGAGTTCATTCTGTTTCTCCACCAGGTCATTGCGAGGGAACGGATTACAGGGCCAGAGAGGAAGAGGAAGCCAAGGGAGGTAGCTAATGCTGTCTGTCACTGCCTTGGCAGATCACTTGAGAGTCCAGGAAGAGGAGGGGGTTGAATGGAGAAAGGACTTGGGGGTCCACGACAGAAGGATGGCTTCAAATAGGTGGCTTTTGAGAATCTTAGACTACAGAGGAAGAGTGTGGTCCACAAAACCCATTAGCGTCAAGTCAATTCTGACTCCTAGTGACCTTACAGAATGGGGAAGAACTGGACTTAAGAGATCCTTATTCAGATGGGTGGAGGGAAAGGAAATATACAATAAGGCAATTATCAGACATGGTGAGTATTATATGTCATGTTATAAATCAAAATGCTTATAAATTATTGGATGCAAACCCAAAAATGCCTTGTAAGATTTACTCAGATCACAATTCAAGAATATACCCTGAAAATATGAGAACTGAGGCAAAAACTGGCATTTGTACACCGATGTTCATAGCAGCATTATTCACCATTGCAAGAACATGTAAACAGCCCAAATGTCCAACCACAAACCAATGGACTGAGAAATTACAGTACATTCATACAATGGAATACTATGCAGCATGCAGGAACAGTGATTTTGTAAATTATTACCTAACGTGGGAGGGACTGGAGAGCGTTATACTGAGTGAACTAACTCAATCCCACAAGGACAAATACTGTATAAAACCGTTATTGTAGAACGAGTATAAGGAGCCAGGAGGGGTGGGAGAGGCTGGAAACAGAGGGATGTGAATGTGCAGGGGAAAGGGAGATTAATCCACTGGGTTGTACAATTTGATCGGTGAGGAGGGTGAGGGAAACTGAAAGAATTTGTTCAAATTTGTATTTGAATTTTGTAAATAAACTAGTAGAAGGGGAAAAAAATTATACACCAATCATAAACCAAATACCTCTGATTTTATACTCTCATATAGAAGTTAAGGATGTCTATTAATGTTCTGGGTCAGGAATCATGATGCAACTTCCAGGTTATTTATATCATGCTGAATCAGCCTAAATGTAATACTTTCTAAACAAATCCATTTTAAAGGTCATCAGCCTCTGGGTCACCCACTATGACTGCTGTTACCTTTATAAAGATCTATAAAATTGTTCTAACAAACAAACAAAAAGTTGTTGAGCAAGAATACCGTGTGCTTTAGAAAGAAAAGGTCTGGAGCAGGGAGGTGAGATGGAGATGTGGACCGTGGCAAGATCAGAAAGGATGACTCCTGCTTGGCAAACTCCCAGCCCAGAGCTTGGACCTACAGTGTCCAGGGGCTACTTGCCACCAGGAAGAGGGAGGCCATTCCAGTGAGAGCCCCCGGACCCCCCCCCCCCCCCCACCCCGCCCCAGGATTCCAACACACCTTATGGGGAAATCTAAAGCTTCCCCTTTTTTTGTCTGAGATGGTTTCTGTCTCCCTCACCACAGCCAAGCAGGTGAGGCTGAGCCTATCTTGCAGATGGGTAACCTGAGGCTCAGAAAGGCTGGAGTCAAGCCCATCTTTGAGCTCGCGCCTTTGGGTGTGCGCATGCGCGCACGTGGTTCCTGGCTGGCTTACCTGTGCAGCGTGGGCGGTTCGCTCCGGGCCCAGGTGAAAGTGGCGTTCTTCACGGTGATGCTGTTCAATCCGCTTCCTGGAAAGCACCAGAAGGGACAGGTCAGGGACGGGTGAAGTCGCAGGAGGCCAAGAACACTCTTGCTTTTCTGCTACCTGCTCAGCACTAGGTGTTATCTGGTTCCATCAGCCAGGGTCTGAAAGCGCCCACATGGGTAGTTTCTGAGGGGGGCTGGGCCCAGAAAACAGACAGAAATCCCAAGAGGGTTCAACCTCAAAAAAAAGGCTTTGGCATCATCGCATGTGTGTTCAGAGGTGGGCTGCAGGAACCAGCCGGTCAAGAAAGGTGATTCCCTGCAAGGGGATCTGGGAAGGGGGCCTGGGGCAGCTTGGCAGGAGGGCCAAACTGAGGCAAGGCAGATGGGGAGCCCCCAGGGGAATTCTTCCAAACACAGCGACCTTTTCCCCCATTTAAAGAGGGGGTCCTGAGCCCTGCAGGTTGGGTCCAGGGTGTCCCCAGCATCTCCCAAACTCCACTCTCTTCCCTTCACCCCAGACACCCCACAGGAGGTGAATTTTCCTATAAGACTGCAGACAGTAAACCAGAAGCCACAGCAGGAAGTGGGCTTCTAGGCTGCCGGGCAGGTGGGCTTGGTCCCCAGAGCAGCTTTCTCAACTTTGCCTTTTTTGTCTCTCTTTCCAAAAAAAAATGTTCTTAATGATGAGTGGCCATAAAACCCTCTGGAGAGAAGAGGGTTTTGGTTTTTATAGTGATTTCCCCTCCCCCAATTTAAAGCTAAATAAAAAAAGAAAATTCCATCTCCCCACCCTCAGGTTAAGGAGATAAATGGTTGAAGGAAGATGAAATTACTGGTTTAACTGAAGGCCCCTCCCTCCGCTCTGTAAGTCTCTCTGTAGGGAATGTGAGAAAAGCCACAGAGATCAGAAGCTCCAGGAAGTCAAGACTACAAAAATGCCTCCAGCGGGGCACAGACAGGCCCCTCAGCAATACTGCCTCCCTGGAGCCCACAGAGCAGGAAGAGGGTGAGGCCAGACGTAGGGGATGAGGGGGACTAGGGGTTTTCCCACATGTGCAGTGAGGCCCGAGCTGTTTCAGCAGCAACCTGAAACCCCCAGCTACCAGCCTCAGATTTCAATTCATTGTTTTACGGAGACATTTGGCCCCAGTGATGCTGACCCTGTTCTCATGAGGTGAGGTCGAGGACGTGTGTGTGTGTGTGTGTGTGTGTGTGTGTGTGTGCGCGCGCGCTCAGTGAGGGGACTTCATCAAGCAGCAGAAAGCAGATGGGACCAGGCCAGTGAAATCGGAAGGGGAGACTCCAGCATCTGTGTGGGAAGTGGCTCTCGGCTGGGGTGGTGTCGGGGGACAGTGCCTTAAAGAAAGAGCCAAAAAAAAAAAAAAAGAAAGAAAGAGCCGGCATTGACTCAGAAGTGCTGGGTGACACCAACAGTTAAATTCTCCTCGGCCAGATGGACAGTGGTGGTTCTATGTTGCCCATAGTAAGACGAGCCCAGCAATCTACCAAAAGTTCAGTTTTGAAAACCCCACAGAGCAATTTTACACTGCAAAATTTTATGCAATTTTATGCAAAAGGCTGTCTTAAGTCAGAACTAGCAACACCAGGATAGATGGGAAAAAGACTAAACCAGTCAATGACTTCACCTTTTCTTAGATCCACAATCAATACATTTGGTCCAGCTGTCAGGAAATCAGGAGACGTTAGTTGCATTGGGCAAGTCTGCAGGCAGAGATCTTTCTGAATTATTGGTGAGCAATGGTTTTAGCTTGAGGACCAAGGTGTGCCTAATTCAGACTTTGGTCTTTTTAATCATTTGCTATGCTGCCGAGAGCTGGACAATGAAGAGAGATGACAGAAGAAGACCTTAAGGTAAATGCTCTCTGAGGAAGTTCCATGTACTATGTATTGGTAATTCTCCACACTTCACTTAAGTAAGTCAAACACACACACGTGACTTTGAAATGTGGCATTGGAGAAAAGTACTGAATTATCACATGGAAGCTGACAAGAACAGACACGTCCTGGAGAAGGTGCAGTGGAGGCAAAGATGATAAAGCTTTGTCTCACATACTTTCTTTGCTCAGAGAGGCTGCTCCTTGGAGAAGAGTGTCATGTTTGGAAAGAGAGGTAGACCACCCCCAACAAGATGGACTGAAACAGTGACTACAGCAGAGACTGTGAGGATGGCACAGGATAGAACAGGGTTCAGATCTATTGTTCATGGAATCACTGTTAGTCATAATTGACTCAAAATCACCTGACGCGATAGCAACCACCACCAACAAAAAGATGGTTTTGATTGTCATGGCTTGAGGGAAATGATACAACGAGGGCAGGTTGGCTGCTCAACGTCTTATAATAAATGCACAGGACCATTCCCAGGACAAAGAATGCCATCGCCCTGGTGTCACGATGCTGGCTAAGAACTCCACTCTTAAGGTAGAGCTAAAGATGTGACATCTAGACAGTCCCACCGCCCCATCCTTCCTGGAACTCCTTACATGCACCAGGCATCCTGCCAAGTATTTCAGGTACCAACAAACTCACTGGCAACCTTTCAGATTCAAGCCAGTGTTCGCGTATATAACTAATGCAAGTACACATGCTCATACCCAATAGTACTGAGCTGTGTAGCTGTGTTGCCATTTAGGCAGTGGGTGGTCAAAGGTGAATCACCAAACCTTTCTGGGCCTCATTTTCCTTATGGTCAACAACCAATTTGACTTACTTAAGTGAAGTGTGGAGAATTACCAATACACAGTACATGGAACTTCCTCAGAGAGCATTTACCTTAAAGTCTACTACAACCCATCATGTCAGAATTTAAAATCATACTGTTAAGAAAAACAGGCCATGAAAAGCTGGTGGCATTCATTCGATTTTAAACGAGTGGGGAAGTTCTTTAAGCTGTTCTATTAACAGCTACGAAGTTAGAAAGTAAAGCATGAGTTAAATGTGCATTAAGTTTAAATGTTTACAGATTTTAAATTCCCCCTTAAAAAGAAACACCTTTGTATACATGAAGGAATTTTAAAAGAATAATAATAATAATGATGATGATGATGATGTTTATGTCTTCAATATCTTAATACGGAATTTTGTCATTGCTGATGGGTTCTGATTTGATGTGATCCCATGTACCACAGATCCTAACAGTACCTGATTCGGTGTCACCTCACATCAATCCACCTCAGTCAAAGTCATCCTCTTTTCATTGTCTCTATACTTCACTAGCCTACTGTCCCTATACATGGAACAGTTGGTCCTGACCTCATGCCAAAACTGTGACAGAGTCTTGTTAGCCTCTCTTCCAAGGAGCATTTTGGCTGCACTTTCTTCCAAGACAGATCTTTTTGTCCTTCCAGAACCCCACGGCACATTCAATATGCTCTATGAACACCACAATTCAAGGGCGTCCATTCTTCAGTCTTCTTTACTCACCGTCTAGCTTTCACAAGCATGTAGGGTACCTGAAAAGACTTTGACGTGGCTCAGGCACACCTTAGTCCTCAAAGTGAAACCTTGCTTTTTTAACAAAGAGGTCTCTTCCAGCAGATTTGCCTAATTTAAAATCTACTGGGCAAGACTGTCCTCCTTCTCCAGCGGAGCCGCTACAGGCAACAGGTGCTCAATACAGTAGGGAGGCTCCATCACCCAGCTGCAGTCCTCCCTCTGCAAGCCTGCAATCTCAGATAAGTCACTTGGGCCAGTCTCCTTATCTGTGAAATGGGTGCAGTGATAGTCCCCCTCTTACTGAGGATGCTAGGGAACAGATGAGTTAGTGCACTCATGTCTTCCAGGCCAGCACAGAATGGAGATCATGTGAGTGCTGGTAACAGTTCAGCAATTTCATTTGTTTGCTAGTAAATAACTTATTCATGAATTTCTTAAGTGCTTGGGGATTCAGCTTTGAATGTGATCCATGCTCTGGGGAAGTCAACTGGATGGAAAAGGGTGAATCAATAAGCTATAAAATTAATAAACTGGCTGGTAACATTCACACAATACCCTCCTAAGAAAGGCAGCTTGACTCCCTTTACTCAGGTAAGAAAACTTAAGCTCCCACCAGTGGAAGGGCCTGCTCGGCAAACACAGCCAGGGGATGGTAGAGGTTGGACAGGAACCTGGGTCCTATCTGCCTGTCCAGGACAGGGTCAACGGTCTAGTGCTGGAATGAGATGACACACTCCTGGGACGTGGGAGAGGAGGGAGGCAGGCGTCTTCCCTGGTCTTTGCAGATAAGCTCTCAGGTGGAGCCCACGGCAGGGCAGTCACGGGGGAAGCAGCCTCATGGACTTGGCGGGTCCACACACACCTACCTTCCTTGGTAGGCTGCCGCTCGATGCTTCCTGGCTCCAGCTCTTCGTGAGAAAGGAAGATTCTCAGGCGCTTCAGGGACACGCTGGCCTGCACGTAGAGCAATTATAGGGGAGTCATTTGGAAAGCCTTTTTCACAGGTGACGCTACCCCTATGAAATAAGACATAAGCCAGTGTTCTAGGTCACACCCCTGGGCCCAAAAAGAACGACATCCTCCCTGACTACCAAGAGTCTCAAGTTTTCTATAATAAGCAAACCTCTCAGAATGAAAAGCCAGAAAAGGTGTGGGGGGCCTTGTTTGTTTTCCTTTAAGAGCCTACCTAAGCCCATCAACAAACGAATGGATAGAGAAGCTGTGGTATATTCACACAATGGAATAGTATGCTGCATTGAAAAACAACCCATGAAATATTATACAAAATAAGTGTCCCTGGAGGACATTATGCTGAGTGAAATATCTCAGTCACAAAAAGATAAATATTGAATAGTGCCACTGTTATAAAAGAGGACAGACATCAGGGTTGAGGGGAGACTGAGAAAGATGGGATAAATAATGTATCCTGCATTGAAACAGATGAGTAAGAGAACTGTTTAGAAGGGATATATGACTAGGTATTATTGTCATGACAGGAGCCCAGAACGAAGGCTGCGTAGTAGAGTGGACTTGGGAGGAGGGATTGTATAACAATGAAAGAGTTTTTCTTCTACTTTTCAAAGAGAAGAGTGAATTGGGCGGGGGAGAGGTGAGCAGGGAGAAAAGTGCAACAATGAATAAATGGAAATCCTAAGTCCCTGTAAACTTTCATTAAAATTAATTTTTTTTTAAAAAAAAAAGAGCCTACCTAAGCATGAAGGAAAAAAAATCACACACAAAAAAAAACCATGACAGGGAAGTTACTCCAAATTAAAATGACTGTCCTGTTTCCAGTGATGAGAACGGCAGCACTGCCTCCAAGTGAGGGCTGTGTCGCAGGACTCTCTCTGTCACGCTGCCACTGAACCAGGACCGAATGACTGAGAGCCGAGTCTCCTTCCAGTTTCTAACCACAGAGGAGGAGATTGCCCATCTTTCTCCCTCGGAGCCCCAGGTGGCTCTGATGCGCCGGAGGGGCGCTGCCTTTGAACTGGCAGTGCGTCTGCTTGTGGACTATACCACCGTTATGTAAGTTATGAAGAAATTAAAAAAAACGTAACAAATAACGGGAATAAAAGATGCTGGTCTAGTCCATGCATAGCTCACAGGCACAATGGGAGGCGTGGTTACAGAAATCAAAACAAATCCCCTGCCACTGAGGTGATTCTGACTCATGGGGACCCTCCATTGGGTTTCTGAGGCTGAGGATCCCTATGGGAGGAGACCACCCATCTTTCTCCAGTTGAGCAGCTGGATGTGAACCAGTGACCTTCTGGTTAGCAGGACAATGCATGAGGCATGCAGTACAATGCAGGGCACAGTACGCCACCAGGGCCTCGTGAAGTGCGCTCGGCAGGAGCTGTCTGGAGGGGCGCTGCAATGCCTCTGGCTGCACTTCTCAGACCTCAGAAGCCGGCCCTGCCTGGCCGGTTACCTGCACGATACTGCTGATGACCATGGGGAGGATGTTCAGGGGGAACCGCAGGATGTTGAACAAAGCCAAGGACACGAAGGCTTTCTGGGCATCCAGCACGTTGTTCTCGTTGACTGTCACGTAGACGGCAAACGTGGACAGGGCCACCTGGAGGCAGAACACGACATCAGCTTCAGTCCTCGTGGGGCTGTGGAGCCA